AGAGGGAGACAGCCATTGGGGACGGGTCTGCGGTGTCTCGGGTGCTTGGAGAGATGGCACCGTTCACCCCTCTGCTCATCACAGCTTCCTTCCCCCTCTGCTCCCTCCTTCCTTCCGCATTCTCGAGGCTGTTCTTGAAGCTGGGGACACTTCTTAACTTACAGGGCTTTCGGGGTTAAAAGACACACAGCATGATGTGACACTAATAACAGACACCTTTGAAAAGAAAACCAGATCCTGTTACTCCTATACCGAAAGCCTTCCAGAGACTTCCTCTTGCACTCGGAATCACTGTGAAGTCCTTACCTTACCCTACAAAGGCGAGGCCCGCTCCGACTCCTGCCTCCCTCCCCAGCTTCATATCCTCAGATGTCAGCCTAAATGTCAGAGCTGAGAGAGGCGTGTCTTGACCACTCTGGCTAAACTAGCCCCATTCCCACCACCAGTCTCTCTCTGGCCCACATCTTGTCTTATGATCTTCTGATCACATATTACCTGCAACCACCCTGCTATTTGTAGCTTTCTTGTTTGTGGTCTGCTTCTTCCTTCTAAAATGTAAGCTTGGGGAGGGCAGGAACTGTAATTCTCAGTTCCAGGCACTTAGTAGCTGATCAGGAGACACGTGTTGAAATGAAAGGAAGGTTCAATATATCCGTAAGAGTCACACGTCTACGGATGGTTGATCTTAGTTCCTCTCTTTCTGAGATAATCTGTTCAGCAAACAGCTTTTCAGGGCTTGGAGCCTTTCATGGTTGCCTGTTAACAAGGGTGGGATTTTTTTCTCATTGGTAGTCATTGCTCGGAGTCCTGACCACTTACTGGATTTTTGCCCTTTTGCCCATTTTTGGTTTTGATGATTAGGGTCTCAATCAGGCTTTCTGTCTACCTTCGCCTCTCGTTCAACCTCCTCGAATCTATACCACACCCCGTCCTTTTCAGCTCAGCCCAGTTGCGATGGGCATTCTAGGTAGTGAGAAAGCACTGGCTAAGAAGGCAGGCCTCAGCTTGGGTGCAACTGAGGGGACACAGGAGATGTGGCAGGAGGAGGTCCCAGGCATCAGAGGCAATAATTTTGCACTGGCCAGCCTCTTTTATGTCCCTTTCTTTTTCTCCCTTCTACCTACTCTTTCTGCATAAATCCCTTCTTTTCCTCTCTCCTTCTATTATACCTGCTCAGGCCAGAAAATTCTGAGAATAATTTTTTTTACATGACTTACGGAATCTAGCTACGATTATTGTTATTTTTTTAAAGATGTATTTATTTGAGAGAGAGAGAGAGCATGAGAGAGAGCGAGCACTAGCAGGGGGTAAGGGCAGAGGGAGAGGGAGAAGCAGACTCCTCGCTGAGCAGGGAACCCCATGTGGGGCTTGATCCCAGGACCTTGGGATCATGACCTGAGCCGAAGGCAAATGCTTAATGGACTGAGCCACCCAGGCACCCCCTAGTTATAATTCTGTCTGCGGAAGTCTATAGGCTCCTACTAAAACACCATGAAAAACTGTGCATATGTGTGTGTATAAATTTTCTTCTGGGGAGAGGACCGATACCTTTTAACGGATTTTCTGAAGAACCTGTGTCCCACAAATTGTGAACCACTGAAAAAGCTTGTTCCAGACCGGGGGTTCGGGGGTGGGAGTGGGGGGTGGTGTCACAGAATGATAAAACTTCCATATATAAAATACTAGGAAAAGACAAATCCCTAGAGACAGGAAGTAGATTTACCATTGCCTGGGGTCAGGGGGTGGCAAAGGAGAGGGACTGCCAATAGATACGAGGTTTTCATTTGGCTTGATTGAAATGTCCTAAAATTAGATTGTGGTGAGAGTTACACAACTCTGCAAATTGACTAACAGTCATTGAATTGTACCCTTAAAAAGAGTGAATTTTATGGTATGCAAATTATACTTCCATAAAGTTGTTTTAAAAAGTCAATACCGAATTTCAAAAACTTAGTATGAAAAAGACATGAAATACCTCATTAATAATTTTGTATTGATTACATGTTGAAATGACAATATTTTATATAAGTTGGGCTGAATAAAATATATTATTAAAATTTTAAAGAGAGCAATTGATCACCATGAGCTGTCTCTCACAGAGAAATTGCTCAGAATAATCCCAAGTTATAGAGTATATTTCCAATCTTCACTGGGGCAAAGGAAAAGGGACCGAAGAAATTGAGCAGCGCAAGGGGACCCCTGTGTCTCCTTTAACTGAGCGGGGGTGGAGGTCAAACAGGAGGGGTTCTTGATGTCTGGCTTCGAGGCAAAGAGCAAGGCGGTTTGGTCAGCTCTCAGGTGGGACTTACTGATATGGAGAGGTTCTTCCTCAGGCTTGGTTGAAGATGATTCATTGTCCTCAATGTCCTTGCTGCCTGTCCCCTGGGTGATCACACTCGGGGGCTCATCTGAGCCGGGGTTCATGGAGACCATGCTGCTCTGGGGGGATGATCCTCCGCTGGTCCGAGACAGACTGAGTGTGGAGCCTCGCCGGCTTGGTTTGCGGCTGGTGACGCGGAGTACAGGAATTTTGAATTTCTTGGTCTGAAGGAAAGAGAGAAGAAAGAGGAATCTCAGAAAGAAGGGAGGGAGGACAGAATGATGGAAGGAAGGAGAGAAGGAGGAATGAGGGTGAATAGAAGGGAAAGAGAGAGGAAGGGAGAGAGAAGAAAAAAGGGAGGAGGGAAGAAAGGAGGGAAGGAAGGAGAGAAGGAGGAATGAGAGTGAATAGAAGGGAAAGAGAGAGGAAGGGAGAGAGAAGGAAAAAGGGAGGAGGGAAGAAAGGAGGGAAGGAAGGAAAGTAGGAAAGAAAAAAAAAGTGAAAACCTGGCTCTGAATGTGAATTTCTTTTGGCCCTTCCCAAACACCATGACACATATCCTGGGTCTGGGGTGACCTTCTGTCACAAATCAAGATAATTTAAAGTGTGTATCATCTGAAGCAAACATGATAGGACTGATTCTATTCAGTGAGCACCATGGTTGCCCAAGTAGTCACCACAGGAGGCCAAACACATATGCCAGTGACGTTACCAGGGACCAGAGGAGTTTTGGACTTTTGTAATGATCATCAGAGTTGATTTTTTAAACTGTGGGGGGATGGGTCTCATGTCTTTAGCTACCTCTTGGTTTGACCCCAGATTGCATGGATCAACCTCTTGTTCACCACGTTGACACCAGGCCCTCAAAGAATGAAGATTTGTGTTTACTGGGGGTCTTCTGAAGTGTACAAGATGGAGAAAATTCTAGACCTGACATTTAGGGAAGCAGATGTGTCTGATAGGAGAGCATTCTTTGGGGGCAGGGAGAGGAGCCATGGTTGTGGTGGACGGAAGGGTCTAGATGACAAGTCCTAGAAGGTAGTAAGGGGTAGGGAGAGAAAGTCTTGTAAGGAGAATGTGGACTTTTGGGAGGAAAGGAGTCAGAGAGAATGGGTGTGTGTGTGTGTGTGTGTGTGTGTGTGTATTCACACCACCCTCTTGCATGATTGATATCACTTCAGAATGTACTGTGCCAGGTCATGCCTTCATTTAACTCATGATCCAAGTCTTCTAGAGGGTTCTAATATGCCCAAGGTCACATAGCTAGCAAGTGGCAGAGCCAGGATTCCAGTCCAGGTCAGGCTAACACCAACACTAATTATTATGCCTTGCTTAAAAATACATTCAGCAGTGCCCTTTTCAGGAGCATTGAAAATGCCCTTGATCCCATGCTGCTGGTTCTTTTTTTTTAATTTAATTTAATTTTTTTATTTATTTTTATTCTTATGTTAATCCCCATACATTACATCATTAGTTTTAGATGAAGTGTTCCATGATTCATTGTGCATAACATCCAGTGCTCCATGCAGAACATGCCCTCTTTAATACCCATCACCAGGCCAACCCATCCTCCCAACCCCCTCCCCTCTAGAACCCCCAGCCTGTTTTTCAGAGTCCATCGTCTCTCATGGTTCGTCTACCCCTCCTATTTCCCCCGCTTCATTCTTCCCCTCCCGCTACTTTCTTCTTCTTTTTTTTTTCTTAACATATATTGCATTATTTGTTTCAGAGGTACAGATCTG